CCCTTTCCGTTACTATGCTCCACATACTTTCAACTTGGATCATTAGGAACGTATACGTCACTCGTTGGAGACACGCTCCAACTTTGCTCAACTCTCGAGCAGCATACGGAGGAAAGTTTCAACGAATCGCCCCGGACGATTCGTCAGTCGTTCAACGAGTTCCTCTTGCTGTTACTCGGTCAGGCACTTTACCCGCGTGCTTCGGCGAGCGACCTATCTCGAAAGCGTGAAAGGGGGATGCGACAGGACGGCGACGTTTGCGAAACGAATAGGAGGGATCAGGAGACGATTTCTCGACGGGTTGGATCCCTCGTGCTCTCTGGCGCGCAACGTTCCAACGCTGCGTATGTGACGTGACGCCAATAGAAAAAGCTATAATCGGCGCGCGTCAACGTGTCTGCGACAAGGTCGCAGCCCCTCCTGCCTCGTTCCGCGTGGTATTCTGTCAAAGCATGGCCCCCCTCGACCTCGCGATGACATTTATATCGCCGGGAAGATGCGTTTCTGCACATACTGGCACATACCATCGCCGTCTGACCGTAGATATCCCGTCGCAGGGCGGACATCGCGTTCCACCGCATCAGACGGTGGGGGGGGCTAAGGACTAATTTCATCCCGCATTCCACCACGTTAGGTATGACGAGGGAGGAAGACGGGTAGCCGAGCTGGGTATCGACGTGGATGGAGGGGATCTGTTGGATCACAGACAGGTCAAGGAAGGCCTGTGTATAACCGAGAGAGAGAGAGAGAGACTCCGAGGGTTGAGTTAAACGTCCATCACCCGCATTCTCTGATCTTCGCCCAAGCAGACGATCATATTGCAGATATCCCTCTCTCTCTCTCTCTCTCCCATTCTATTCTCTTTGCCATTGTGTGCACACACGTTTCCACGTCTCCGTCTTGGAACGTGCAGAAGAGTGATGCAATATTGATTTCACGTTGTGGGTTTATGAATAAAGTAAGCGGTTTATCTGACGTTGGCACAGGCCGGTGTGGACGGCGGCGTGCAGAAACTCCAAGGTGGAAAAGGGGTGCACCCGGGTCCCTGGGGATTCACGCGAAGTGGCGTTGCCCATGGCGAGTAGATAGCCACTGCCACGGAGATACTCTCGTGTGCACACGAGGTGTACGTCGCGTACACACCTCGGCGTACGGATACACGTGTAGATACACAAGGGGGCGCGCGGATAAATTCACGTGGACGTGTGTGCGGGCAAACCGGCTAGTTTCTTGTGTGTTGCCAGCCAGCGTGCAACACACAGTTGCGTGACGGAGCATTTTGCGGCTGGCACGACACATTCTGTGCACGTTCCCTACCCCTCAGCCGTTCGTTCAACGTATGTATACACACACCGTTCCATCGGTGGACTTCTGTCTCTTTTTCGTACGACTAAGCATCGACTTCGACTACTATCACTATTCCCGCTGTGTTCGCCGCTCGCCGCTGTTCCGTTTCTTTGTACCACCGTTCGGTGTATATAAACGAAGCGGTCGCTTCTTTCGATTTGTTTGCGCGGTTATTGAAATACCTTTCCCACCTTGTTTTTGGTCGACTGTTTGCTTTCTCTGATATTGGATTACTCGGTCCACTCGGTTCCTCCGTCTAGCGTGTTTCCAACACGTTGCTGTTGAACGTTGTTGCCGAACTGTTTTATTCCCCGTAAGAGGGGATGCTAACGTTATATAGCACGACTGCGCGTAGTTGTTAACTGGGATACGATGGAATTTCTTTGTAATCTATTTTTTTTTCTTCTTTTTTTTTCAAAATCGTCATTTTTCTTTCACGTGTATTTCAATTTCTTTGTACGATGCTTCTCGTGTCACTTCGTGTTGTAATTTTAAAAAGAATGGAATGGCTTATTTTCCAGCCGGCAAAGGGAATAACAGACTGGTACATTTGGACTAAAAATAACATGCTTGCTGAGAGTGCTTTATAATTTTAGAAGCAATTGAAAATGATACAAATCCAGAATGTACAATGTACTATGTTTAACAAATTAGGCAATGGTTTATAGGCTCGTCTATAAACCATTATTAATAAAATTAAAATGTGGTTACGATTTACAGTAGAAATGATCATTCCCGGTTGCAAAAGTTGTATCACTATTTTAGCTTCACGATTGCTTTCTAAATTGTTTTCAAATAATTTGTACAGATTTTCGAAGTATGTTTTGGATCATTGTCCTGTATAAATATGAAGTTTTGTCCTATTCGAGTCACATTTTCATATTAAATTTATAATTTTTAAATATTTGGTTTTAATATTCAATATAATACGACCACACTGTGTTCCATGTTCTTTTGTTTAATAAATAAATTACTACAAACAAAGAAAGACGTTTCAAGAAACTGAATATGATGATGAAGCAAAGAGGACATTCTATTGTTCTTTTTTTTAAATTTCTACAATTTTTATTAAACAATTGGCACAATACAGATATTAATTTTTCACTTGGGTTTCTTCTCACATGTACTCGTCGTTTTCTGTTGAACATTTCAAATTTCGATTCGTCAGTTAATAATATTTATTTAAATTTCGATATGCATACCATTAATTCTGCGTTAAGACATCTGTGAACTATATATTTACAGAGTTATACTATGTATTCGTATAGTAAGAAAAGTTACTAAATAATTAAGATTAAACGAGAGAATTGTATTAGCATTGTAATAATCATCTTGCTCACCGGGTGATTTGTGGACGAGAGTGTAACTCCAGCAAATATTCTATCAACCCCATCCGAAAAATATTTTCCGACGAATAAAACATACGAACGCGAGAGACGTCGAATACGAAACGTGCCCGCCATACGTATCGACTTCTCTTTATAAATATATAATTAAGGTTTTTCAGCGTTGGGAAGCAACCCTTAGGCTTTTTCTGCTCCGGTACTCTGGCTGGTCCTAGCCGGCTCGCAGGTCATCGTTTCCTTCGAGAAACTGCCAGTTGGAAAGCACTCCCCAAGGTGAACCCTTACCTCTTGGCCGGCGTATGCCTCGCAGAACCCACCCTTCTGTCTGGGGTCGATTCTTTCTCATTTCGGGCACCCAGGGACCCGTGCACGTTACACCATCACCGTTGCCACGCTGCTCACCACTGGCATAGAAGCACACGTTTGTTCGCCAGTTCAATTTAATGAGATTGCAACGTGCTAGCAGAATTTAATTTCTCGAAATGGTTCATCTAAATCTATCGACCATGGCGAGGGATTCCCTCTCAGTATGTTCTTAATTCTCGGTTATCCTCTCCCCCCCCC